AATTGAGATTTATGCATCATCTGAAAGCTGAATAAATAATCTTATCATTGATGTATGGTTTGTTAGGATAGGACAATATTTGGCCAAGATACAATAATTTGAAAATCTGGAATCTGAGGGTGCAAAAAAAAATCTAAATATCGAAAAAATTGCCAGTTGTCCAAATGAAGTTCTTGGCAATGCATATTACTAATCAAAAATTAAGTTTTGATATATTTACGGTAGGAAATTTACAAGATATCTTCATGGAACATGATCTTTATTTAATATCCTAATGATTTTTGGCATAAAAGAAAAATCGATAATTTTGACCCATACAATGTATTTTTGGCTTTTGCTACAAATATACCCCAGCGACTTAAGACTGCTTTTGTGGTCCAGGGTCACAAATGCAAATAATGAAATGCTAACCATATAAACAACAAAAAACTGATAGACAACGACTGCAAGAATATTCTGAATATTTTATTTAATTTCAACACATTTCAGTGCTTGATTTTAAGGACGTATTTAATGTGTGAAATTCACTCAGTGTTTGCAATTAAAAATAATATGAATTTATAATATTCTTAAGAGTATTCTCTATTATTCATGTGAAAAGTAAAATCAAAGAAGTTGTTCAATGTTTAAAATTAAAATAAATATGTGTTTTTCTAATAATTGTTTCTTATTAATCATACAAAAGTTTAAAAATGAATAAACAAATGCTAAAAATGCAAATAGTAATGAACTAAATATATAATCATAATAATAACTGTAAGAAAACAGTATAAATATTTATTTTAATTTAAAGCAATGGCTACATCTCAGTGTTTGAATTTTAAAGAAACATTCAGTGTTTGAAATGCATTCATTGTTTGCAATTATAATAAATATTGATTTATAATATCTTACCGTTATTCTCTATTATTTGTACAAAAGTAAATATGTCCTTAGAATCAAACATTGTTTTTTTTTTTATGTTTGAAATTATAAAACATCAAATTGAAATAGAAAAACCTGCATGATTTATCATTTCCTTGACACAGCATTTTTAAAAATGGAGGAAAAAAAGATGTTTGAAACCAGCTTGCGATGCAACAACCAAATCTCAATTTGCGGGATTTGTCAGCAAATATTGATCATTTGTGATTAATTCAATTCATAATCATTTATGACATATCATATTTAATTAGATAAATTAGCAGTAATTAAATCTTGTGCTCTGGATGACAGGATATAAAGGTGAAGTAGTCTTACTCGATGTAGTTGAGGTGAGCATCAGACCAGTACAGCTTGTCATTGGTATAGTCAATAGTGAGACCGTTGGGCCACTCGATCTTAGTAATGATGATGGCCGACTTGTTACTACCATCCATCCCGACACGTCCAATGAAGGCTTTGTCTCCCCAGTCAGTCCAGTACACATATCTGCACAAAGATGACATCTGATATTAAAAAATAGAAGCTAAAACAGATTCCAGCAATGTAACGGCCACATACTGTACACTACTGTTTAAAAGTTTGGGGTCGGTAAGAGTTTATACTGTTTTACAGGCTCTTCTGCTCACCAGGGCTGCAATTATTTGACCAAAAAATAGAGTGAAAAAATAATATTGTGAAATATTATTACAATTTAAAATATTTGGATATATTGTAAAATGTCATTTATTCCTGTGATGCAAAGCTGAATTTTTGCCATCGTTACTCCAGTCTTCAGTGTCACATGATCCTTCAGAAATCATTCTAATATGCAGCTCAAGATACATTTCTTATTGTTAGCCATGTTGAAAACAGTTGTGCTGCTTCATATTTTTGTAGAACACTTTTATGAACAAAAAGTTCAAAAGAACCGCATTTATTTGAAAAGTTCAAAGTAATTTTAAATGTAGTGTGCACAGATTCAGGTAGGTGCACAGTACATAGTACACAATACATCTAAATTCAATTTTTAAAAAAAATTATAGATTTATAATATCAGCTATAACCTAAATAAACCTAAAAAAAGAATAATAAATAATAATTTAATAGATAATTATTATATTATAAATTAATTTATTAAAATACAAAGTAATATATTATTATTAAAATACGTATTAAAATATTTTTTTTATATTTTATTTTTATAAAACAATAACTTTTATTATTATTAGTAGTAGTAGTAGTAATTTGTTCAGTTTTATTTAAGATTTTGAGGATGAGGGCGTCACACAACCTGTCCATGTTGGCATATGTTTAATTTCCCACTTCTACCAACTGACAAATTAATTTGCATCCAAAGTCTACAAAATTTGACTGGAATGTGAGGCCTTTGATGTCAACAATGTTTTTTTCTCCTTTTTAAAAGCATTTAAGTGAATTCATTTTGCTATCCCATCTACACATGGTTTTATAGTTGGTTATAGTTCATTGTTTGCATTTACCATTGTTTTTTTCACGATCAGAACACTAATACCAGTTGGAAACTACAAATTTAGATAAAAACGACACAAAAGCTGTCACTGGGGCAGTACCTTTTAAAAGGCACAAAAATGTACCATTTAGGTATTAATTAGGGCTGTACGATTTGGGCGATTTCGATTCGATTTCGATTAATCGCACAGCCCTAGTATTAATATGTACCTTTAATGTACTTACTGTATATGTACACTTTAGGGGTAAATAAGGTACAAAGATGAACTTTTTCAAAAGGTAAAACCCCAGTGACAGCTTTTGTACCTTTTTCTGAGAGTGTATGCAGTTGTCACTACTCAAGATTGTGCAATATGCACATGACCACCAACTTAAGCCCAAGACACACTGTGCGATTTTAGCAATCCTATAAGAGCATTGCATGTCACACTGTGCGATATGAATCTAATAACGACATGCGTGTAGACTGTACGATGATGACACCTATTGACTCGTAAGCTACGACACACGTTACTATAGAAGAATAAAACATCATCAGCATGCGCTACTGGCAAACAAAAAGAGCATGATAAATCACACTTTAGCAGCTTTCGTTTTTATTAGGGCTGGGAAAATAAATAGATGCATCGTCAATCGAGAAATGATTCCGCATCAATTCTGAGATTTTCCAAATCTTTCTCGAGTCGATTCTGAGTTTAGTTTTGAACAGCAGATGGCGCTGCATGCTTTAGAAACAGCCGTACTCTGCTCGTTTCCAAATCATTACACACACTTGAACCTAAAATAATCATTCATAAAATTCGAAAAGGTTGAAGCGAATTACAAGGGTGTTCACAGTGGGCTGTGTTTACATTAATCTCGCATCATAAAAGGCGATTTCGATTCGATTTCGATTAATCGCACAGCCCTAGTATTAATATGTACCTTTAATGTACTTACTGTATATGTACACTTTAGGGGTAAATAAGGTACAAAGATGAACTTTTTCAAAAGGTAAAACCCCAGTGACAGCTTTTGTACCTTTTTCTGAGAGTGTATGCAGTTGTCACTACTCAAGATTGTGCAATATGCACATGACCACCAACTTAAGCCCAAGACACACTGTGCGATTTTAGCAATCCTATAAGAGCATTGCATGTCACACTGTGCGATATGAATCTAATAACGACATGCGTGTAGACTGTACGATGATGACACCTATTGACTCGTAAGCTACGACACACGTTACTATAGAAGAATAAAACATCATCAGCATGCGCTACTGGCAAACAAAAAGAGCATGATAAATCACACTTTAGCAGCTTTCGTTTTTATTAGGGCTGGGAAAATAAATAGATGCATCGTCAATCGAGAAATGATTCCGCATCAATTCTGAGATTTTCCAAATCTTTCTCGAGTCGATTCTGAGTTTAGTTTTGAACAGCAGATGGCGCTGCATGCTTTAGAAACAGCCGTACTCTGCTCGTTTCCAAATCATTACACACACTTGAACCTAAAATAATCATTCATAAAATTCGAAAAGGTTGAAGCGAATTACAAGGGTGTTCACAGTGGGCTGTGTTTACATGATCATGCTATATCGTGGGCTATCTTTGACCGTGACAACAGCCGTCTTTGAACCTCTCGACACAGGATCACCGATTAGGAGCCACGATCACAGAAATCGCCACGATTGTTTCACGATGCCAATCTTTCATCTGGGACAGCCTAAAATCGTGCAGTGTGTTTCGGGCTTAAGATCACTGCAAGTCACACTGTACGAAATGGATCTAATAAACTTGGCTACGATGCGTGTACGATGATGACACCTATTGACTAGTACGCTACGACGCACGTTACTATAAAAGAATAAAAGTCATCAGCATGCGCTACTGGCAAACAAAAAGATCACGATAAATCACACTTTACCACTTTACAATTTTTTATGTGTGCCAAAAAAAGTGGAAGTGGCGAAAGAGGAAGGGATAAGAGCTGGAGGTAAGCAGTTTTATGTTTTAGCGCCATGTCGTATTTTTATTGGTTGGTCAGTAAACGTGGACCGTAGCAGCAAACACACTGTGCGAAGATCATGCTATATCGTGGGCTATCTTTGACCGTGACAACGGCCGTCTTTGAACCTCTCTCACTGTACGACACAGGATCGCCGATTAGGAGCCACGATGACAGAAATCACCACGATTGATTCACGATGCCAATCTTTCGTCTGGGACAACCTAAAATCGTGCAGTGTGTTTCGGGCTTTACAGATTTGAAAATGACTTGCATCGCTGGTAAACTCACCCAAACTTTGGATGCAGAACGATGGCTCTGGGATTCTCAAAGCAGTATGTGTTATTAGCATCCACACAGTGTTCTGCTAACTTCCTCACAAACCGGCCGTCCAGCTCCGACACCTTCATGCAGTCGAGAAAGCTGTCGACCCAGTACAGCTTCCTCCCAACCCAGTCCACCGCCAGGCCCTCGCCATGCAAAATCCCATTGACCACCACCTCTCGTCCCGTCCCGTTAAAGAACATCCGCTCCAACACCCTCCGGCTCACGTCGATCCAGTACAAGCGTCTGTCCACCCGATCAAAGTCCAGCGCCACCACGCTGGTGAGGCCCTGCAGAATGAGCGAGTAGGCCTCGCCGTCCGTCGACAGATTGCGCAGATAGTAGCGGTTGCTGAAGATCAGGTAGGGGCTGATGTTGCTGTTCTGCCTGCAGCTGCGTCCGTCGGGTTCGCGGAGGAAGCCTGGCGCACACTTGCACACGTACGAGCCCATGGTGTTCTCGCACACCTGGCTGCACACGCTGGGCGTGACCGAGCACTCGTCCACATCGTCGCATGTTTTGTTGTCGGACATGAGGCGGTAACCATGGCGACAGGTGCAGATGAAGCTGGTGGGAGTGTCGGTGCAGTTGTGGTCGCAGTGGTGCATGGATGGGTCTGTGCACTCATTGATACCTGAGACAATAAAACAGACAAATAATTTATATATACTGTATATATATATATATATATATATACACACACACACACATTTACACAGATTACACAGAATATATATATGTATATATATATATATATATA